TTAGGCGCTCTTCTGGGTCCTGGACGCGCTAGTGGGCAGTGTTGAACTGCTTTTCGGAGAATAGCTAGTACCGTCCTTTATGGGTGTTCACATTTCAGCATTTTGCTCACACCTTAATTGGTCCTTCGTTTGGATTGCTCTTTAAATTTGTGTACTTGTGATAAATGGCGATATTCCTTGTTGGTGAAAAGATCGGCGGAAAGAAATATCAGCATTGCACATGAGTCTGGGTCTTGAATGTGACCCAGAAACTTTAGCTTATCAAATATCAGATGAAGTTACATGTTCTGAATCGGAACAAGCCTGGATACTTAGCCGGATGACACCAAACAGCGGGAGAAGATCACCGCCACTTCCAGCGATACAAAGCACTCACTACAATTACGGAACTAATGACGCGCGCGGAATGTATCAATCATTTAACCATGACATGAGCAACAGGCGGAATCAAAGATCGGTGCCAATACGATCCGTTGTCGCAAGCAATAGTGTTGAAATGCTTCGAAGAAACATGTCAACTGGCTGTCTCATTTGTTGATAGTTGTACTTTGCTATTTGCATTCTGCTCTTAGCATGACCGTAGGATATCCTCCATTTGGATTCCGAAAAAAGTTTGTATTCCTGAGTATCGATATAAAATTTGAGAAAGTTTTGCAGAATGTAAAGAATTGCATTATAACAGAGACGATGCTTCTGTAGGCATTTTGAAACAGATATTGTTATTGTATCACCACTTACTTTTTTTAGTTGAGTTATATCACTTGAAGATTTTTCTATTTTATTTTCAAAGATAGATGTACAAACGATTGATCTCATTGAATAAACAATATATCATTGTATTCATTTATCTTGCGAACGGCTTTGCAACGAACGTGGTAGCGTCGACTCAACAAACAATCGAAAAAACAAAAAACAACATTCCCTTTCGTAGCTTCCAAGCTCCATCACCCAACAAAAAGTTCTTCACCCAGTTCACCTTCTGTAGCGGACGCCGAGTTCAACATTTACGCTTCATCCCAGATCCGAACAACCCCGCAGGTCTTTCCCTCGAGGCCGAGCATCTCCAGCGAATCCCTAAGAACGACCGCAAGAAGACGCCCCTAGGGACGGGAACGGGCGGGGCGGGGAGGGGAGAGGTGGGAGGAGAA